ATTGCATAATGGGAGGCAATCATCTCTTACTCTTTATCATTCCCCACCCGCATACCATGCAATTCAAATTCAAGATATCTTACTTTTAACAAAAATAAATAACTACTGAATTATTTAAGTTGTTGACTAAATTTTATCAATTATTATTCAATTGTTCTCTTAGAAACTTAAAAATTGGTCCATAAAAAGATTCGAATCACTATAGTCCATACACATTTGAAATCAGGATCTTAATCTCAAAATCAAAATAATAAAAAAAAAAAAACGGTAGTGGAGATACAGAGAAATGTGGCTTGCTCATTTCTAAATTATAACTATATAGAATTTTCTCTACTCTATTCAATAATCAACCATTAGTTTCTGGTATAATCAAAAACACTAGCGCAAAAGTTGGAAAAGTTTAGAGATACACAGCTCACAAAAGCCGTTTTCCCTTTTGAATCTCCAGCACTCCAAATTTGATTTGCCCTTTTTTGAAGAGAAATCTTGACTTCCCTTTCCTTCTCTTTAATTTAAGAATCTCATGTTCCATTAGAATATATGGGCTCCAAGTGGACGGTCAATAGGTTAAAGGAAAGGAGAGGAGATTTCTTAGGTGTTTGGAGATCCTGTACCTTTAGAATTATCAGTACATCCCGCCCAATAAAAAAAGAAAGTCGGTCAATGGAAGCAAAAGATTATATGATACCAAAAAAATAGTGTGTTTGTGTTGATACTGCAAAAGCAAAATGTATTGAAATTACCAACGAGGGGTTGGATCAAGTAGTAAACGACTTGTTCTAACTTAAATAAGGTCTCGAGTTCGAAATCTTGTGAATGCAGCAGCTTTCACTGGGAGACTCACCCACCATTTTCAGGTGCGCGACGCGGATCGAGTCCGGATTAATCGGGGCGAAGCCCCGAATACCAGACGGGAAACTAAAAAAAAAAAAAAAAAAAAAAAAAAAGTATTGAAATTTCCAAGTTGTTGCGGCCAGAAAAAGTTGTGTGTGTGTGTGTAAGGGGTCGGAGAGGGGGGCCCAATCTTTCTGGCAGTACGCAT